TCTCTCTCTCTCTCTTACACACACACACACACACTCTTTTACATACACATTCACATGCTCACATGACAACAATATAGACATAGTAAACTTGTAAAACCCACTTGTTGAAGCACAGTTGAAGTTTTTGGCACAAACTCACCAACTGACAGGCTGGATAAAGGGGATAAAACAACCCTTACAGTCAGCACTTGTGTAGTTTTGGAAACAAATGTAGTACCAACAGGTTTCTGCTTGTGATCTACATCAGGGTCATCAAGGAACATAATGCAAACATTGCTGGATTCAGTGAAAGACTGGGCCCTGGGGATTTAATGGAGTATTTCAACAGTGACCAAATATAAAAAAAATACAATTTTCTTTAGAAATAAATAGTTAGGTTTTAAGTATGAATTCTGACAAAAGACTAGTCACCACTCACCTCATCTGTTCTGTTTTCACATCCAGACGTTCTACTCATACTGTCCTTTAACTGTCCTTGGTCCCTAATTTTATTTTATATATATATATAAAAGAAAGCTTTCACAAACAATTAAAGAAATCCTTTTTCTTTTCCCTTCACTTAGACCAGATAGGGCCTGAATCCGGTCTAGACGTCAGCATGTGGCAGAGACATTATCTCCATGAAATGTTTTCTCTTCCTGGATACGACTGATATGCAGCGCCTGATTTACAGTATGACAGCCAATCAGAGACAGAGACAGATACAGAGGCAGTGGAGAGAGGAAACAGAGCAGAGCACTGACATCATTTTGCATGAAAAGTTTTGAAGTGATTCATCTCAAACACCAATCACTTTCAACATCGGCGCTATGAGGCTTTCTGCTATCACCTGCAGTTACCAAGCTTCAGACTGAACGCTGACTTCTGATTTTTTTTTTCATAGAGTTGTGTAAGAGTGAGTAAGAGGACTCACCTCTCTTCCTCAATGTCACCTCCTCCTCCTGTTCTTTACTCCCTTAGCTCAGCGCTCTCACAAACACAGAGCCAAAGCTGCAGCTCCAGCTCTGGAGCAGCTTAAACCCATTAGGCGACTCCTGAATGCAAATCCGCTGCAGCAGATATTTAATAAGAGACCCGCGCTGGGAAAACTTGATTACCTTCCAATTGCCAGCGGTTAATGTGCTAAAAGCTTTCCCACTTAAGTGTTGACTCCTTCCAGAATATTATTCACACTCTGAGGGGCCAGTGTTGGTGCAGCTTAGGAGAAAAAAAACAGATGGTGGATGGTGCTGCTGCCTTTCACGGCTGAATACAAGATGAGTCACACAGTAATACAGCATATTTTTAAAGAAACTTCAGAGAATGATGTAACTCTCTACCTATCAGTTGTCTCTGAACTACATTTTAATCAATGTGATTATCTTTTGGAGGTGACTGTGATGCCAAAATGTGAATTGTACACCTCTAGTGTAATGTTAAGAAGTAAAACTACTAAAAGTACAGTAGTCTTCCTACAGTTGTAATTAAAATAATAGTTCACAGTACCGTAAGTTCTTCAGTACACTCAATACTACCGTACTTACAGTAAAAATGTATTGTGCTTTTGGCCGATCAATACAGTATGTTAACTGCCCTGTAACAACAACACTCAAGTACAGAAATATAGCTAAGCTACGACAGAGCTGGAGCAAGAGACAAAAACTAACACCTTTAACATTAAGGGATGGAGGAGTAGGAACATCGCCAAGTTTGTTTTCTTTTGCTGCAGTGGAGAAGGTTAATTCTCTTCAAATAAACACATTAATGTAGCTTCAGATTTGATTTGACACTAGAGCAGAACGATGTTACCACAACTGTGAAGCTCCAACCTTTTAGGTGCTAAGTTAAAAATTCTGGTGCATGAAATTTTTGAACTTTTGATGGCACTTTTAAAGACAGTTTGGTTATCACCTCTGTCATTACACATGGGCTGAATTTAACTAAGCTGTAGCAGCAATTACTTGGTACAGAAATACTATTTTTCAGTATCTTTAGTTTCACACAATTTCAGGTTTAGTACTTTTAAACATATTCCGACCAACAAATTGTTTGGAACATATTAAATAAGCTTCAGGTCTTGTTTTTAGTCAAAGTACTTCAGAGATTGTGATGCTTTACAGAGAGTGTGTCTTTCCTTTTCCCGCTTTAGTATCTGTGGATGTGGATGGCAGAAGATAACAGGATCGAAGTGACGTCTCACCACACAGAAAGTGCACGGGCTGCAGCACTCAGGGATATGACAACGAAACCTTCGGAACAATTATTCCTCCAGATAAATGGCCGCGGCGTGAAAAGGTCAGTAGCAAACCTCTGCCAATCCCCCTCAGAGTGGAATCTGGGGTAAAATAATCGCCCTGTGATTGAATTGCTTCCTGGGACTTTTGAGCCAAAGTAATGAAATGGCTGTTGTTGCGACCTGACCCTTCCACCTCCGCAGTGATTTTTTACCAGATTACAGTGCAGGCAGCAGGGGCGACTATTTGCTCACAGAAACACATTTAATATATGTGCATAGGTTTTCTCCATGTAAATCCCCATTATCACAGGTACGTCTGCATATTACAAGTCTGCGTTCACCTGCAGGGCTGATGGGGCCACAGCTGCCTCTCCGTTTATAAACCTACACTTATAAAGTGTCTGTGATTTAAGCAAGTGAAACCTAGTAAGAACGAATGGAATTCTTTCTCTTTAACATATAAACTGACATGGAGTTATATAAAGTTTATATACGATACAGGAAGTCAAGATCTCCTGCTAATGGGTACTGTATGAACGGAGTCGGTTCCTAGTCTAGCGGTTAGCCTCAGAAACAGACAGCAGAGAGTCCTGGGTTCAATTCCCAGAGGAACCACATGCTTGGCACTTGCTAGGGGCAGCCTGTTAACAGCATATCTGCTGCTAACACAACAAATATGGAATCAATATAGTACAAATTGTTTTTTTATTTATTTTTATAAACAATTGAAAAATGAACTCATGCAAAATGAAACGCAGCCCCAAATCGTGACGAAGTCTGCTTCGTTCAGCCAGCTCTTTATCCAGAGCCATATTCTCTGCGATTGAAATGTAGTTTTTCCTCTTTTCTTAGATTCTCAGATGACCCAAGAGCCAACTGGATAAATTACACTCTAATACCTCCGAATAAACCCATTACTTCCCACCATCCCTTTTAGCAAACATAAAAATTACAGTATATATTTAAAAGGTCAGAAAACCAAATATTTTTACTAGCTTTAATTAACTTTGCACATTATAAACATGTACTTTTACTCCACTGCATTTTACAAAATAAATCATTGCAAATGTTTCACCATGTCTGTTGTAGACTGAAGAGAGAGACACACACACACACACTTACCCACACACTTACCCACACACTCTGAGGTATGCAGGGCTCAGTCTGTTGCCTCCGTTCATATGACTAATTAGACCAGCCTCACACTGTGCAGGTCCTTTTGATGCTGATCTCTGGTGCTAATTGCTACATGAGTTGAGGGTCACAGTGAGGTTAAGTTCAAATGCAAGGACGCGCTTCAAACTTTACCTCCACCCTCCTTTAACCCCTCCGATTTTAAACACGTATGCCCTCATCTCCCTTACATGGATAGGTGAACAAACTGCTTTGTTGTACAACAAAAATTACAAGAAGAGTTAGAGTTGATGGGAAAAACATCAGTTAATTTGACAACTAAGTTTTATTTTATATTTTTGTAATTTTATTAGATTTGAATTGTCACTCCACTGTAATGCTATTTTAAGGAGAAAATACTGCCATTATTCAAACCTCATGCTACCACTATTGAAAAAATTAAGCCAAGCAAAAATACCATTCTAAGTCATTTATTTGTGTTTCAAACATACATCGGTGGCTCTTCCTCACCCCTCTCCCCTCGTCCATCCATCTTGGTTCCTCTGTCTGTACATGACTATTGGTTATTCTGCTGGTCAAACAAGTGTTAAATCTTTAAAAGGCAATGTTTAACTCCACCGTGCTCCTGAATAATTGAGGAGCACATCTACAGGCTGTTATGTGCTTAGAGTGTGACTGAGTGTGACAGACAATGACAGCGAGAGGCTAATAACATGCTAACTGTGACACCGGAAGGCTTTTCACAGCATAGAAAG